TTCTGGAGATTTTCGGGTTTTTGACATAAAAAAATTCATAACTTTTGTAGATGAACATCTTTTACGGCGTGATGGTCACCATTAGAACCGCCTCGTTCTCCGCTCTCAGAAAATATACAGCATGTTTGAGATTCGTTTGAAAAAGTGCTTGGTGAAAGATGTGCCTAGTGATTTCTGGGAATTTCGAGTTTTCAGGATAAAAAAATCCGTGACTACTGCAGATGAACAGCTGGTGCAAGGATCAAAAAATATATGGCATGTCTGAGATCCATTCAAAAAAGTGCCTGGGTGAAGGGTGTGCTCAGTGATTTTCAAAGATACTCGATTTTTTATCATAAAAAAATTCATAACTTTTTTAGATGAACATCTTGTACGAGTATCTTTGAAAATCACTGAGCACACCCTTCACCCAGGCACTTTTTTGACAAACACCAAGCAATGTATATATTTTCTGGAAGCAGAAAACGAGCGGGTTTCAATGGTAGCCATACCGGCGTAAATTATCTTCATCTTCAGAAGTTAAGGATTTTTCTATCCTAAAAACTCGAAAATATCCAAAAACCACTACCACTCTTCACCAGGCACTTTTTCAACAGACTCCAGGCAAACTATACATTCTCTAAAAGGGAAGACAAGATGGTTTCAAAAATATTCACCTTGCTGACGTTGCTGTTCATCTACAGAAATTACGAATTTCTTCTTTGAAAAAAATTCGTAAATGCTTAAAAATTGTCTAACTCTTCCGAAACACATGTTCGCATGCACATCAACTATGGTAATTCCAAAACCAGGCACGGCGATGTAAAAAAGGGAAAAGGAAATGTAAAAAAAATACAAGGTGCTGGTCAGAAATATAATTGTATGCTAATCCAGCAGCGTATCACTTCACATTTTAGAAAAAAGACAAACAGTGATGGTCAGGAATTGGAAATTATGAACTTTGACTGGGAAAAATGATGGCTCCCCCCCCCCCGTCGCCATTTTACGATTTCTTTACCAAGTAAAACACCCTTCACCCTGGAGGGGTTGCGACCACTGTGACCCCCTTCACCCTGGAGGAGTCATTCTCACCTTATCGCACCTGTGCTACAGATGCTGCACGCACCCATTGGCCTACAAATTCTGCTTCCGAAACCTCATTGAAGTTCTCACGCAGGTGTTTTTTGAGATTGGCATTCGTTTATGCAGGTTACCGCGAGGAATGTGGGCGGGGGAGGTAAGAGGGATAAATGGGGGAGGGGGGGGGGGTCCTACGGATGGGTACCTTCAAGGGGGGGGGTCGTAAATGAGGGTCCCGGATCGCATCAACACGCTTGACCCTGGTTGGCACGGGGGGGGGGTAATCGAGCATGCTGATTACAAATACAATATTAGTTTTTGGAATTATCCGCTACTTTTATCAATTTTATCGATTTTTTTGCAAAATTCGAGCTACGGGGCTGGAAGTTGGCACAGGGAGGTAATCGAACATGCTGATTACGAATACAATATTAGTTTTTGGTATTACCTATTACTTTTATCGATTTTACTGATTTTTCAAGAAGTTCGATTTACGGGGCTGAGAGTTGGCACAGGGGGATAAGTGGGCATGCTGATTTCGAAAACACAGTACGGGAAATGAAGCGTAGAAGTGGGCACAGGGAAAGGTTGTAGAGGGATAGGGATGGGACCTTTATTACAGTGTGCTGACAGGGCCGGGCGGAGCCGGGTAAGCCAGCTAGTGCTTTCATCATCTTGAATAACACCTAGACATCCCCTCTTTTGAAGAGAAAAATTCAGGTCATGAAGAATCAAGTAACAATTTCGCATAGTTTCATTGTCATGTAATAATAAGTTTTCGAAGTGTAAAAAACTCATAAACGTAACATGCCTAGATTTGCCTATTAACACGTTACCGACCGCGTGCACACGCGCTTATCCACGCGTAAATTCCGTCTAGCATTTTCTATTATGCACATAGTTCCTCAAGTGCAAACGAAAGATAAAGTAATTTCTGTGCTTCATGTCACCCAAAGGGCATTGCAGTATCTGTTCAGGAGTTTTCAGTCGATAATTGGTGTGGTAAAATATGTAAAATATGCTGATTAAAGAGAAGGCAAAAACTCTGCGTAGCTGTTCCGATCTGAAGGAATTAAGGATGAACTCAGGCAAAAAACTCCCAAAATTTCTCAAAGAGAAACCCCTTAGACAAAGCACGATTGCAGTCCGTGTCAAGAAAAGCCCTTTTCGTTAAGCGCAATGAGCTTCGCGTGAGGCGATGGGGGCGATGGCTCGGGCAAAATTGGCCTCATCGATTGGAGGTCGAACGCTCGACCCTTGCGTTGCGCATGCGTAACTGCCATGCGAAAAGGAGTATAAGTGACATTCACTGTATGTGTAATTCCTGGTATGACTTTGTGAGATACGTGATTTCGTAAAAACTTTGTATGTTTCATAAATACGCGTCAAAAGGACTCCTACATAGTGATCTCCAGCATACATGCGTCACACACCAATGAGCAAGAAACATATCGTCCCTTCCACAGTGCTGCTAGCCTTGGCCTGCGTCTGTGACCCGCGGCACGTATGGCTAACATGTTGACAATGTACAAAACATGTTTGCAACATCAATAACATGTTGACAGAACATTTTCGCTATCATCCTCAGTGCCAACATGTTGCTGCATATTATTGGCCACGCGTGCCGCAGACAGGGCCCGGCACAGATCGTCTGGGTAGGCTGGATTTCGTTTTTGAAGCAAAAAGCAAAGGAAATATCGTTTCTGACGAGTTGGGGCCGAGCACCAAAATTAAGCGCCATTTAATCGAACACAAGCTTTTCGGATATCGTGTATGGCGAAAAGTGCGCGCGATTTGAAAGCAAGGCTAAAACAAACTGTTTGTTTACAGTGCATACAGAATCATACGACACCAGAAGTGAACTGTATACATAGAAAATTATTTGAGAAATTATGCAAAAAGATTTGAAAACTTATGTGAAGTATTAGGTTGTCCGGAAATTAATGCCCGTTTTAAATTCCAACCGCGCTAAGTCATATACTTCTCATCTCTAAATGGGTTGCAAAGTACCATTCGATAGAGCAAAGCAAGCTCTACAAGATGGCCATCTTGCTTTTGCAACAGCTTTGATCCATCTCGAGTTTCGAGCCAAAAACTAAAAAGACTCACCAGTCCGAAAAATCGAAAAAAATCGTAACTCAGTTCATAAAAATCCTACAAAAATTCTAATTTGCTTGCGTAAACACTATCCACATAAGACATCAATATATGCCGTTGCCGTATTTTTTTCTCTGTTAGAAACCAAGGAAACGGAAATTTTCGTGCATTTGCCAAAGTGATGCTGTGCCGTCCCCGCATAGGTAGTTGTATACCACAAGTCTGTAGAAGTACAGACTTAAATTTCCAGCTCTCTACAAGCTTTAGTTCTCAAGAAATACCGAATATAGCTTTCCTTACTTAAGTGGTCCAAGCTAAAATTCAAATTTCTCGAGAACTAAAGCTTGTAGAGAGCTGAACATTTAAGTCTGTACTTTTTCAGGCTTGTGGTATACAACTACCTATGTGGGGACGGCACAGCATCACTTTGACAAATGCACGAAAATTTCCGTTTTCTTGGTTTCTAACAGAGAAAAAAATACGGCAACGGCGTATATTAATGTCTTATGTGGATAGTGTTTACGCGAGCAAATTGGAATTTTTGTAGAATTTTTATGAAATGAGTTACGATTTTTTTCGATTTTTCGGGCTGCTGAGTCTTTTTAGTTTTTGGCTCGAAACTCGAGATGGATCAAAGCTGTTGCAAAAGCAAGATAGCCATCTTGTAGAGCTTGCTTTGCTCTATCGAATGGTACTTTGCTATCTATTTAGAAGTGAAGAATGTATGACTTATTGCGGTTGAAATTCAAAACGGGCATTAATTTCCGGACAACCTAATATTATAGTCCCCTCCACAGATCGTGCCACCCTTGATCTGCGTCTCAGACCTGCCACGAGTGGCTAACTTGGCAACGTTGGCAGCAACACGTTGGCAACATGCAGCAACATGTTGGCGTGGCCAAAATGTTCTGCCAACATGTTGTGGCATGTTGCAAACATGTTGTTGCCACGTTGCCAACATGTTAGCCACACGTGGCAGGTCTGAGACGCAGATCAAGGGTAGCACGATCTGTGGAAGGGACGATACCTTTTTCAAAATTAGTCCGCCCCCAGACGGTCACCAGACGATTTGAGATCGAGCAGATATTTCTGCCACTTTACATAAGTTTTGGATTTTTCTATCGACGGATTTCGCGGTCAAAAATCTATCCCTGAGCATGAAGACATTTTCATATTATTGCCTTTCCTTTGCTTATTGCCTTAATCTTATATATAAAGCTGAATGTGTGTATGTACGTATCGTCTGCGTCCCAGAGAGGTTCCCATAGGTACCACGTCATCTCGCTGCCTTTCGCACTTTTGAACGTGTTAACCTCGGGCACTTTCGTTGAAATCTCAGGAGAAACGTGCCAAAAAGAGCGAAAGGCAGGTCGCACCACGTACGCACGCTTGTTCACATGGGAACCTCCTTGGGGCGCAGACGGTATGTGCGGAATAGAAATTTTTACTTCTGAACCGATTTGGACCAAACTTGGCACACATATACTTCGGGGCAGAGAGCGTGTCATAGGCTACTTTTCGTTATCGATCGATATCGATTTTTTGCAAAATTTGAGCTACGGGGCTGGGAGTTGGCACAGGGGGGAGGGGGTGGGTAATCGAGCATGCTGATTACAAATATGTTATTGACAGGGCCGGACCGAGCCGGGTTAGCCAACTAGTTTCTTCATAAATAGCTTTGTTATATTATATCGCGCTCCAATGCCAAACGCATGTGCATGCGTATTCAGCAGCAATCTGTATTTTCACTCTTACATGTTTTTTTTTCAAACTAGTAAATTTTTCGTGTTTTCATCTTCTCCTAAGTAGGTAGGTCCAAGAGAACTTCGAAACACTTCCAAGAACCCTAGAAACCGACTCATGCCGGGCCCTGGGCGCAGGTCAGAGACGCAGATTAAGGGTAGCAGCAACTGTGGAAGGAACAGCGGTGAAAGTTGCGCCCAAATGGTTCGGTCGTCTGCATGTTAATCTGCTGCGTAGCCTAGAACAAAAAAAAATTGCATGTTAATTTGCTACGTAGACTAGAACAGAACATTGTTACCTAACACACTGTGTAATCCACTAAGAGAGCCAGTAAAATGCTAGACTGATTACGACTACACCCACATCACATTTTGGTCACAACTTCCGTCACTGGAGCACTGATTCGCATATCGGCGAAATTGTCGGCTCTTGTTGGCCCAATATTCACTATGTATACGGGTTTGCCTTCCAACTTCGCGTACCAAGCGTAGCGATATCCAGACATGACTTGAAGAGAGGAACCCAGCACAAGAAGTCCAGTACACTCTTCAAGCTGAAAGCTGATTATTACTTAAATCGCTTTCAAACAAATTCTAGACTCTTTTTCGGCTCTTTAAAAAATCTAATCGAACTGGAGTACTAGTAACGATCATGACGGTCAGTAAGAGTATATAAAAAACGATAATCATACCTTTTCCCAGCATTCATCAGCAACCTTGCGGGGGATATTATCGCCGAAGAACACAACATCCGTTTTCAAAATGCCGCCGCATTTTTGACAGGTTGGAAGTACAAACGACTGAAATATTTGAGTCTGGTCAAAACTCAAAACAAGCTGTAGCAACAACTCAACAGGCCTTACAAAGAAATTTGGCCTCATACATTCAACGATAAAAGTGACAGAGCAATGTGTTTGCGTGACAGCGAAAGCAATGTAAAGCCTAAAGCCTTTACCCATGATTTCCTTTTTCAAGATTCAGTAATCGGTCTTCAACTCTGAGCTCCAAACAAACAAGACTCAGTACTGCCCCCACGCAAGACAAAAATGCATAAATTCTACAAAATTCTTATTGCTCAAAAGCGTCGACAGTCGTTTATTATCAATCTTGATTTTATAGTAACCAAGCATTTATCGCTTCAGAATACCGCCATTCATAATTTCTGGGCGGGACTCAGCAGCGGTGGCGCTTTCGCACGCTATATGTCGTTTTTTGAGGGGGAAAGGGGAACCTGTAAATCCACCCGGAAATCTAACGAAATTGAAGAAGCATGATTTCAACTCTTAGCAAGTCCGAATTTGAAGACCTAATGTGATTTTATCAGTCAAAGGTGAATTAATTCGACAAACACAATTAGTACATAAATCTGTGTGCCATAACTCCATGACTTGTCAAAACACAATCTTTGCGCATAAGAATATAAACAATTGGTTTGTTTACAACGAGTAAGCAATAATGAGCAGATACCAGCGTGGGTGTGGCGCGCCACACCTAAGGGGTCGTAGAGGAGTCAGTGAGAAAGAGGGGGGGTCGTTATCGAGGTGATAGTGATGTTAGCAACGTGGTGTCAGTCAGCAATGTCTGATAGGCTCATCGTGCAAGATACTAACACTGGTGCTTTGAATTATCGTCGTACACGTACAGTAAACATGATAGAAGAATTCTAAAAACATAAGGGTATCATTTTCGTAATCAGCATGCCGAATAACCCCCGTGGGCCAAGTTCTTAGCGAATTTTGAGGTTTCCACGTATTGGCACACTCAACTAAGGTGGACATTTTCGAACACGCTAACTTTGTTTCAAAGGTGAGTAAACTACTTTTTCTTGCCTCAATACAAAGTATTACTTTTTCTTTGCTCGTATTAGGAATCCCACTTGACTAACCTCCGAACACTGAAATTGAGATCAAGCCAAAGTCTCGTTTGTCCCATTTTTCGCCCTCAATATCTCAAATTAGAGAAAACCAATCAGGCTCAAACCACTTTTGTAAGTTACTAGGATTTCGCCGCCTTCTCTCGCGATTCACGTAGTGGCGCAGACTTAGCAGATTAAAGTAATCCAGTATTTTCGGCAGCGTTTTCCATTTGCATAGTTAGACCTAAGGCATACCTCTCGCGATTTCGTGAAATCGCCACATCCTCGCGACTTGGCGATTTGCCAGATGTCTAGAGATTAAGCATGTGAGGCTCTCAGTGCATGGGTGCGTAGATTCCGTAAATTGTAACAAACACAGCAAGTTTGGCCCAAGCAAAGTGCGTTTACGACCTTAAGGAAAAACGACTCTTTTCCTAAGGGAAACAATTTTGAGTGAGCTTCCTGCTATGTGGAGAAGAAAGTTTAGCAGTAGCAACCATATAAAAAAGACGGAGATTTGAATGCTTTGAAGAAGTTAATGGTGTGTGGCACAATCCCTAAAAAGCTGTGGCAGCCACAGTTTTTCTGGGATTGTGCCACATCCCATTAACATACCTCAGAGAAGAATTTTAGCGAACATCTTATATATAAAGCTGAATGTCTGTCTGTCTGTATGTATGTCTGTACGTATGTGCGGAATAGAAATTTTTATTTCTGAACCGATCGGGACCAAACTTGGCACACATATACTTCGGGGCAGGGAGCGTGTCATAGGCTACTTTTCGTTATCGATCGATATCGATTTTATCGATTTTTTGCAAAATTTGAGCTACGGGGCTGGGAGTTGGCACAGGGGGGTAATCGAGCATGCTGATTACGAATATAATAATGACAGGGCCGGGCGGAGCCGGGTTTGCCAGCTAGTAATATATATAGTTTGATAGCCTGAGTCTTGTAGTTTTCATAAGAGGAATTTGGGCCTGATTCATCTTCTTCGTTCTAAGTAAAAGCTGGTGAAAGCGCAGCCACTGGAAGCGAAAAATGGGAGAAACGAGATTTTGGCCTGTTTCTAATTCCATAGTTTAACGATTATTTGAGGTAGGATTCATAGTATGGTAAATAGTGAGTAGTGCTTTGTATTGAGTACAAAAAGAGTTAGCTGATGCGTTTTTGAAATACTGTCAATCATGCTTGAAAATGGCCACTTCATTTGGGTGGTCCGCTATTGTGAACTCTCAGAATTTGCTAAAATTTGGCCCGTGGGAGTTTTTGACATGATAATCACGAAAATGTGCCGAATTATGCATGATAGGCCTTTGCATGTTCGTCATTGGCAAACGATAATGCTGGTGGAGAGAGGCAGTGGCGTACCCAGGATTTCGGCTCGGGGGGGACGCGACAAAAATTTTTTTCTAATAAAGGTGCGTGGCGTTAGCCACGCACTCCGAAAAAATTTTTGGGGTGCTTCTCAAAATTTTTCCGGGTCCCCGACCCCTAAAATCTGGAAAAAGGGGGCGTGGCGTCAGCCACGCCCCCAAAAAAAATTTTTTATAAGGCTAAAATGAATTTTTAAAAAATTTTAAAAATTATTTTAATTATTTACAAGTAAAAACAAGTCACTTGCACATTTTTATAACCCATGGAAGTAACTTTCAAAAATTTCGCGACCCGTTCTCGGGGGGGGCGCGCGCCCCCCCCGCCCCCCCCCCTCGGTACGCCACTGGAGAGAGGGTGTACTGAGACAGAAGATAGGGACGGGGTCGTATTTGGCGCCTGTGTGCCACACCTCTTGCTCGACTCTGATAATGAGCCACCACATTTGGTGCGTACATCCGCGTCGATGATCAAAAGAAAAGTACAAAAATCTATAAAGAAATTATTTGAACGAGAGAATTTGTGTTATTCAATTTTAGGTTGCTCCAGCGCAACCTGGGAGCATCCTTAGGTTGCGCAACCAAAAAAGTCATGGATCTTCACAACTCTCCCATTCTTCACATGAATTTACAAATTTTTTTACACAACGCAGGAAATCATGAACCAGTAAAGATGAAGGCCAGACCAGTGCCTCTAGGCATCACATCGAAACTCAAGCAAATGCTACAAGACCTGAAAAGAAGGTCCATCATCAGAAAAGAGTTTGTCAGAATGCATTTCCCAAATTAGAGATCGCCCTGACGAAGAAAAGTCAAAGACCAAAGGCAATTCTGGCGCCTAGGTGCGCAGCATCACTGTAGAAAGATGGGCTGAAGTGCGGCATTATGACCAAAGTGATCTGCAATACAGCCAACCATACCCTCGATACATAGAGCCACGTACTCTGGTAGTTCACTTGGAGGGCTATGAGGGGACACAACCTTCACTTGGAAAAAAAACAGAAGTCATCCGGGGCGAAGTCCCGAATGATATTATCCTGACTATTTCAGAACGAATGTTAATGAAGCAAATATAAGGAATGACATCTTTAGCGTATCTCGAAACCGAGCATTTGCGTTTTCATAGCCTTTTTACCTTAAATAGAAAGTTTCTGTGAAATTTTCACCAGAATTCGGGACAAAATTTCTCCGTTAACCTCTCATCTGATCAAAATCGAGTTTCAGAAGTTTAGGAAAGCTATTGGAGTTGAATGAAAACGAGAAACTGCGCTTAAATCTTGCGCAGAGGGTCGCGCACAAAAGCTGGTCTATCTCGTTAATGAGTGGTTTTCAAAGCTTGGGACGTTGTCAGTTCTCCTCGTCGTGTCATGACGATCAGAATGATACATAATGTTGCAGGGTTTCGTTGAGACCTTGCAGAGATCTACGACCAGAGCCAAATGCCCCGTCGGCTCTGGTCTGTCTCCGCTGCTCGTCTGCGTCTCCGCGCACTGCGCGCTACCTCGCTACCCCAAACGCGGGGCGCGGGGCATTTGGCTCTGGTACCCTTTTCTTCGCTGTTTCGAATCCAATTTTAGCAAGCTATACATCATTTTAAGCTCTTGATCTCTATTTTCACGCTGACAACGTCCCAGAACCACATTTTTTGATTTGATCGAGAAGTTCGTCAAAAACCTTGTTTTCGAAAATCTCTTGTTTTGCCCCTAGTTCAACTATTTTCAAGCGGTTTTTTCGTGCATTCTATAGATCTTGCTTCTGTTTATAATGCAGACAACCACCCAACCCTTACCTCTTTGATTATAGGGGAATTTTTTTGCGAAAAATCGTAAAAAGTGCGTTTTTCTTTACCTTGTTCTTTTTCAGTGCTTTCGCATCGATTTTTTTCCAGCTTGGGCGATTGTTGCTCAGAACAATAAGCGCAACAATCCAGACAACGTCCCAGGAAAAAGGAAACGTCAATGCGGGGGTAAAAAATCAAAGAACGCATCAAAAATCAAAACCCCGTGCGAATTGCTGGTCCTGAAGCAAAAATTTGCACTTTGAAAAGCCCAAATGAAAGATTTCAAACCTCATTGCAACGTTTTTATCCGCTTTCAGTTTTTTTTGCTTTTTATATCTGTTTACGTCATTTTCTCTTCTCTGATTTTCTTCAAACAACCTTCACTATTCATGACGTCAGATGTTCAAACAACCTTCACTTTTGATGCCATGTCTCTAAACTATCGAAGGTATGCAGCCAACTGAAGGAAAAGCTCGAGAAGCTGAAGAGTTGTCGCGTTTAGATTATTGTCTGGCCACTAAACATCAGAAAAGAAGATGAAGCCATTACGGCAGTAGTAGCTTGTAAAAAATATCTAGGAGAAGGAGAGTAGATAGTATCGGTCTGGCCACCGATAGTAAGTAACAACGCCCATCCTGAAAGTATGATGGAACTGTGGCCACTCCTGAATGCAACATTGAAGATTTATGCAGGTTCGGATCGGCTCTTATGTTAGCAATTGCGGAAAATGAAGATTGAGATAATGTTGAAAGCAAGTTCACCAGAGTGGTTTTCAGTTCCATTCGTCCTATC